TTAAATTATACATGCATATTTCTAAGGAGGGAGGGGAAGGAAAAATACCTTCCCCTCCCTCTCCCCTGTTGCCCATTTTTCTACTTAACACCTACTCCCTCGACAAATATTTCCTCGCCCCAATATTCCACTGTTACCAAATCTAAGATGGCGGCCTAATACGAAAATGTGCACTCGTGCGCCCAAAACACACCAGCACTGCAGGTAATGGCATGAGGTAACGTGCAAACCACCTACTTCAATCTCAAATTTACCGCCACAAATAAAGACAGTTTCCATTGGAGAAAGGAAATACACTTCTCAAAAATTCTGGTATTGTGATGAAGACCTAAAACAATTTTGAGGAATGCACCCGCTGTTCACTGCTTTGGAGTAGCTGTAGCTCAAGCTGCCTTGACTCTAAGAGTTCCACATCTCACGTCGGTTGATTGACAAATGGTCCAGTGGGACCTAAGGTTCCTTTTATAGCGCGCCTTCATGTTTAAAATGCAACTTACTGAGTCTTCTTCAGAGTCAAGATGATCAACATCTTCATTTAGGGTGTTTGTGACAGCTGAAAATAACATATTGAAAACTCCTTAATTAAATTATATTTTGTGTTATGATGAAAGATGATATCGTTTGGTGAATGACACAGGCATATTCTGGGAAAAGAACTCAGAGCACTGCGGAAGCTCTATTACATGTAATTGATTACAATGGATAATTTTTAAGTCTGCATATGAGAAATGAATTAAACATCTACCTAAAAATCACATGAAAATTCTTTCATGCTTACCTTCTGGAGGGAGCTCCTCTAAAAAACCTTTTATTTGACCATGTTTCTATTACAGTGTAGAGAAACAATGAATGGTTGAGATATAGTAATTCCAGTCAATTGGTAAATTCAACTGGAAAAATTATCTGTGTCATTCAATATGAAAATCTACTTTCAATTGGGAAAATATGATTGGTCGATACTTCTTTCATATCATTAGCTTGTGGTCCATCAGTAGCACAAGGTGAAGAGGTTTTGATATAACAAGGACTGGGAAAAATATCTGTGGCCCATAGTGAGGAAACAAACCCAAGACCTTTTAATTTTGCACTCCAAACTCCTCTATCTGAACTACAAAGAACTCTTTTAATTGGTTGCTATATGACACTTCTC